TCAGCTCCACCATGGTTGAGGATAAGGTGGGAAAATTTGAGGAAATAGTATCTCTAAATGGCCGGAAATGACACTTTTATATAGTAAAATTCATCATTATCACATCAAGGAGGTATAAAAATAAGTGATCACATCACCATTATATAGTCAAAATGAAGCCCCAACAAATTTCTTATAATCTTTTATCAGGAATCTAATTAATATCCAAGACAACTTAGGCCTAACTATAGCTTACTAAGCTTTAACTATATTATAATAATTGTGATCAACAAATCACAACTCACTTTTTCGCCTTTATCACAATTTTCTTCACTTTTTATAATTATTATCTATTATTACCATCGTCATCATCATAATTATTATTATTATTACTTGTAGTACTGTAGTATTAAAACAAAATATTAGAGAGCATGCAAAACGACAAAAACCAAACTGAACCATACAATATCACATTTCCGTATTTGAAAGACCTGGCCTGGGACTTATGGATTTAAGATTTTTTTAAAATCACGATTAGGCCTATGTGTTAGTATAGTAGGCATATGTATAACGTGTGCTGATGCATATTTACATAGATTAGAAATAGGGGGGGGGGTGGGAGAGCCGCGGCTCCCCTGTATACGTCCCTGCTTACAATACAATATGATTGTGACGCTTATAAAACGAACACACTTCACGACTGAGTACTAAGCATTCTTCATTTTCTTTATTTCCGTCAAAAATCAAAACAAACCAAACCAAAACAAGCAAATCCTAAAACAATGAATAAATCAGTTTGTATCAATAACACAGGAGCAAGTAGCTTCACATGTGGAATAACAAATTATTCATCATCAATCAATTAAGATATTTCAGAAGAATACATAAATCATTAAGACTCGATATATTAAACAAACTAAATAGGCCTAAGTATATAAAAGTAACATTAAAATTAATAAGAAATCATTTACTATCATAATGCATACATTATTACACAGTAAGAGTAATCATAGCATACTAAAGTAATCCGGTAACACTTACATAGGCAATACAAAGAGTAATAACAATCACTAAATGAAAATAATAAATGATCGTCAGTTATACCATATTATAATTCATCTAATCGACACTCCTAGCAAACACCGGGCAAGCTGACTAAGTAACCAATGACCAATCAGTGAACGGTATGGTACTGTACGATATTACAATCTGAATAACTGCAATGGCAATACAAAATATTGCTAACAATGCACAAAGTAAAATATTAAATGTAATGAATTCATAATTAATAGTTATCA